TTTACTTTTTCGTCATTAATTAATTAATATTTTTTACAGGTAAGTTCATCCAGCTTTTTCTTTGGACTAGACGGCTATTTTCTGGTATGTACGTACATACAATTTTAATTCAGATTTTTTTTTTTAATAATAGACTATCGTTAATTTTGATTTCTAATATAATCTTCCTTTAAATTTGCAAACTGTTTGTGATTTCCTAATAAAATAGCTTTACATTTTTTAATATTAATTCATAAACCATGACCATCGCTCCATTTTTTATGGCGTTGTTTAGTTTTAGAGAGAGAGAAAGAGAGAGAGGAGAGAGAGAGAGAGAGAGAGAGAGAGAGAGGAATGAGAGAGAGTGAGTGAGAATGAATGAATAGTTTTTTGACCGGAAGCATATAGGACCATATGGCTTTTTTTTTTTTTTTTTTTTTTTTTTACGTGGGTTCGCAACAGCAGAGGTCATATAAACCCTCAGGGCGACGATGTTTTTAAAAAAAGCCCATTTGCATGTCGGGTTCGAATGGAAGGCCGCTGGATTCGAACCCGGGACCTTTACCTTACACTGATGAGCGCTGTGTCAATGCCTAAATAGTTGCGGCCGCCGACTCCCCTTTTACATTATTATCCATGAAAATAATGGCCAAAACTAATTCTTTTTTTTAGCACATTCAATGAATTTCTTGTTTATTTTAGTTCCCCCTCAGAAGCACTTTCAACATATCCGCTATACTTTAATTAAAATTAATGTTTAAACGTAAGTAGATGCATTATTAATAATTTTATAATAATTTTCAAAAAAATCTTAAATTAAAACTGTTATGTAATAAGGCCAAACCGAACTGTCAAATAAATAATTTAACAAATTAGCGAATTGGTCTGATGGATTTGATACCCAAGTGACCACCATGCATCATAAACTCAACATATTGCTACATTAATATATTTGTATCGTGAATATAAAAACGTTTTGAAGGGGTAGCGACCGTCCTTTGGATGAACGGCTGGTTTTTCTCCAGTTTTGTCTAAATCAACTTTCACAAGATGGGTTTTAAATTTTGAACTCATTTCTTTTTCAAAAGTGACGTTCTAATCAAGCATCAAAATATAACCTTTTACAATATTCCGCAAATTTTCAAGGTTCTTTTAGATGTTGAGATGCCACAAAGGTTACTTGTAACCATATTTCGGTACAATTTTCTCACAATCTAATTGGTCTATTGCAACCAATTCTTTTAGTATCCTACGTATTCGTAGCTCTAGGGGCTTTTAAAAATAATGCAACGTCAATTTTGGGCAACAACGTAAGATAGAGACAAAATTTGACAACTTATTTTTTATCTAAAACTGGTATGATGAGGTGTTTTGGACAAAAGTGTACCGAAAGGAGGCTTTTCCCGACAAGCGATTTTATGAACGAACTCTAATATTTCCAATTGCTACACAATTTAACCCATAAAATCGTTACACTTTCTTGAAGGAGAATGTCCACGGTTTATTTGGTAAAGTAGATTTGACACAGTGTACATAAAAGACGAAAGGGATGGCAAATTGTAAGTTCAAAAAAGCAAGAGACACAAAATGCTTGATTCGCATCATTCAAAAGCATTTCTTAAGCTCGGAATTTCACAATACCACTTTCATTCTGTACAAAAAGGTGGTTGTTTTTAACATAAACCAAAATGATTATTTGGAGATCGTGAGGCGCGGGCTGGTTTGATGTAGGTTTGAGAAAAACATTTTCTTTATCTTGCCAACGTTTCGAACTTTATTGAGATCATCTTCAGGGCTCAGTATTTGTTTTCCGTGTAGATGTGTCATTCTTGTGTGTCGTGTTGAGAGTGCGAAAAAATAATAAAACAAAACTTTTAAAAATACACTTTTTTAAGACAGAAAAATGGTTGCTGCCCTGTTAAAAAACATACTGCGAAGGCTGGTTCCATTTACAAAAATTAATAATTTAATATTAATAAATACATGTTATATCTCTGTCGATAGTGTAAATCTTCTTTTTCTATAATTCGAAAATTCCTAACACAATATGGCATTTGTACAGAAAATCACAGTTTGATTTTTGATTGAAGTTTTATTAGTGACCGTTAATCAAAAATTATTCAGAAATCGTGAGATGCGGTGAAATTTAAGTTTTATATTAACTTTTATAAAAATTTATTTCAAATTGTAAGTTGGATTGTGAGTTCAATGTAAAGCTTTTCTTGTCTAATTCTCGACGTTCATGCTTTTGTTTAAGTTAGAAATAATAATAAAAAAAGTGTTTATTTGAGATTACTGACAAAGTTACAGTTTCAAAATTCCATGCAGGACAGAGTCCATCTGTATAATATGGCTTGTACACACTATGCTACATACATTTCACATACAACAAGTGATGAGATCAATAATTAAACTGTTCAACTAAAAAGTCTCTGTAAGTAATATAGTCTCTATAAGACATCTTTTCGGCACGTTCGTGATAAATTCATCATTTTAAATATACCATGAAGCCAAATTAAGCTTCTCGGTTTGGCGAGGTAAGGTGCTCGCTCGGTTAATCGTCCGTCGGGAGGTAATAGGAATCCGACGAGCCGCGTAAAATGTTAATGCCCATTCGAGGAATGAAAGGTTCCGCCGCGTCTGTCCCGCCTCTATTCCCACAGGAGGCAGTTTGGATTTTCGCCAGTTTTCAGCGTCTGGTTCATTTCCCGGTCCCCTCCTCCAGGTGGCTTTCCTAGGAAGCCCTACCAGACAAAAGCTTCTCAAGGGCATCGGACCCTGACCGCAAAGGCCGCCCGGGAGCCTCATCCGATTTCCCAGGGCTGTCCGTCTGGATTCCTGTCGAAACCGATGGCTAGAGTTATTTCCTTTTTGGTGGGGAACCTTTTTCCTGGGGATAGTCCTGACTAGGAAAAACTGGCTATAAATTGTAAACGTCCTGCATTCTATCGGGCCTTGTGGGATATTATGCGATTTCTTGTTGAGGTCTGCGGTGTGATGAACTTGTGAATTGGTCGTTTCCCAACCGATACAAACCGACCATTGAATAGGCTGTAACCTGAAGCAATGCTCTGTTTCTGTCTGACGCGTAAAAATGCCTGAAGAATATTGTTAGTTTGTTTGCACAGTTCTTTGCAGAACAACTCTAGCACAAAGTACAATTCTTTATGTTGTGTGTAGTATTTAGTGACCGTTAATTAATGACTATTTGGAGATCGTGAGAGGCGGTCTTGTGTTATGTAGGTTTAGAAAAGTTGAGTGAGTACCAATACTTTGATTAAACCTAAAATTTCTGTACTGTGTACATCATTGTATAAATTCATTTTCACATCTTACATGTATTTGTATAATTTAAACAATTTTTAAAATCCCAGTCTCTGAAGATGATCTCAATAAAGATCGAAACGTGGCACGATAAAGAAAACGTTTATCCAAACCTACATCACACCACACAGTATCTCACGATGTCTAAATAGTCTTTTTTTGTTTTAAATGTTCTATTATTTATGTTTGTATTTGTCTTTTGTTTGTATTTCTTGCTGTCGATCGGAAACGAGCAAACTATAGATTCATTCAGAAGACTGCGAGATATCTTACAATTTAATTATATGGTTATTCAAAGTATTTTTCAATACAGTTCAAGTTTCTAACAAATGTACAGGTTTCGTTTTGAAGAAAATCTGAAGCTTTAAAACCTCAGAAAACGAGATTTGTCTTTTAAAGTCTTCATTAGAAAGAAACCATACATCCCGGCAGTACGGTGAGAAATGTTTCTTAAACTGAGTCAAACCGGTCTTATTGCATCACTTAAAAGGTGTAATTAGCCTACAAATAATAATGAAAAATATTCGGTTCAAGAATGTGTGAATATATCGGAATTGTTGTGCATATAAAACAGGATAAGAAAATTATGTAAGATAAACCTTGCTCTACTGATCTCCATATAGGTTCGGTTAAAGAGGTTACCTTTCACTTCCGGTATAATTCAAATTGCATTAACATTGGCGGCTGAAGATCAATAAAAATAATAAACCGAACGATCGCGATATGAATAACCGGGCATAAAACGCCAGAAGAGGAGAAGATAGAAGATCTCGTCAATCAAAACTCGCAATATTTACAAAATTGTCTTAAAATCATAATAGATTATCAAGAATCTCGGTGAAATTGCAAAATATAAAATGTCTTATAAGACGTATAAATATAAAAAATCCAAATTTAAGTTTTTAAGAATGCTTGTAAACAAAATTCGTCCAAATAAGGTTATAAAATCGTCGACATTTCATAAGAAAAGTATCAGAATGTCTAATAAATAATTCAGACAAATCCTAAATTTATGATATCATAATCCATATTAATCTCCGGGAACACTGATAAACTCAAAAAAGGTGAAAATTCAAGCATTCAATTTTGAAGGAATACCATTGACGATTTTTTTTCTTAAATATCCTATCGATAATATTTCAAAATTATTGTATAGGTCGAGTTTCGGACGTGAAATCTGAATTTTTAACAAAGTTCATTTTTTCTGTAATATTTTATCATTTTTACCCGTCTTAGTTTCTTTCTTCGAGCATTGATCATTGATGTGCATCGGCTAGTGAGTGAAATGGCACTTCGAATGTTTAATCAAGCAATAGGTTTTTTAAAATCTGCGGAATCTCATAAGACAAGTTAAACTCAGAATGTCTAATAAATAATTCAGACAAATTCTAAATTTATGATAGTATTATTTTATCACAAAAATGATAACAATACAAAAGTCTTTAAAGTGCACAAAAAATTAGAGCAACAAAGGGACAATCTACAAAATCTCAGGGGACACTGATTAACCCAATAAAGTTTCAAAATTCGAGCATTTAATTTTAAAGGAATCTCATTGACAATTTGTTGTTTTTAATTTCCCTATCGACAAAATTTCAAAATCATTGTATAGGTCGAGTTTCGGTTGTTGCGAAATGTGAAATTTTAAAAAAGTTCATTTTTTCTGTAATATTTTTTAATTTTTCATCCGTCTTTGTTCCTTTCTTTGATCATTGAACATTGATGTACATCGGCTAATGAGTGAAATGGCTCTTTGCATGTTTAAATCCGCCGAGGTTCACTTGTAAGTTGTTTCGTACTATCTGTGTACTTCTTGCCCTCTTAACGTGCCTCAATCTCTGTTCTCTCTTTATTTTCTCCCTTATATTTTTATCTATCTTGTATCATTGAACAGCTAATATATAAATATAAAAAAAGAGAAAAAATCACAAAAGTACAGTTAAAGAGTGTTATCTATATTATTGTATACCACATTTTCCATTCTCTTTATTTCTTTCTTCGGTTATAGATTGCTGATCTGTATTGACCAACGAGTCCAACGACACTTTGCATGCTTAAATCCTTCGAGGTTCATTTGTTAGTTGTTTCTTATTAACTCTGTACTTTTTGTTCTCTCACCTTGCAGAAAACAGCAAATACACTTTAAAAAAAAAAAGAAAAAAGCCACAGGAGTACAGTTAAAGTGAGCTATCATCGTTAATATAGGACAACTATGAAACTTCATATCATCATTCTCGTGTAATCCAAATGAGTAGTTCTTTAACGAAATTCAAGGGTTATTTTTAAATATCATCAAATTCCACGATGAATAAAAAATCGAAAATAACCCAACGTTTAATGATACCAATGTTTAATCAATTCTATTAGTCGGAGAAAATTTTCAAAACATATGTATATTCCGTGTGACTGTTTGTCAAAGCAGCCCACCACGAACACCCACACGAACACGCTCAAGAATTTAAATATTTTGTTTATAATAAAAATTAATGTTGGGAATGCTTGGTATCCTGGGTGAGAAAGGTGGAATTAGCATTTATTTCCTTTCGAATATTATCGTGTGATATTAGTATTAATAAAAGCAATTAATAATCAGTATAATTCCTTATATAAACCGAATAACCGCTGAACCCACCCCCCAAGAACATTATTAGGACGTGGCCAAATATTTACGAAGATTTTATGATAGGGATTTGATCATTAATTAAAATGGAATCCCTCTACAAATATTTGGGTAAGATTGATAGTAATGAAAGGGAACTTAGGATAATTTCTTCTTATCAGAGGAAGTCAAAAAGGGGCTTAGGTAATTTGCTGGAAAAGCCCACAGGAAGAGTGATAATAAGATGTTAGCCTAGAACAAGAGGATTATCTCTGAAAAGATGGCGCATGCTGTTATATTTTCCTATGGAAATGAAGCTTACTTATAGGGAACTTCAGAAGATCCACGGAATAGAAAAGCTTCGTCCCCGTTAATTCTGGGTCTCGTTGGAAAATTGGATTATCTTAACTTTGCTTTCAAAACAAAGCCCGTCCAGCGAGTTGCCGTCACGGCCGGTTTTAGACGCTTCTCTCATGATAAGCAATTTGTTACCTCTTTTGGATAAAGTACCACTCCGCCCATTTCGGTTCAAAAATTAAATTATTTCCAACTCTCGGGGTCGTTTTGTTTTTCTCTTTTCTATTCATTATGCCAAATGGAATTGGGGATGATTATAGTGGAAATTGCTTCGTTTGCAGTCGAATGGGGGGGGGGGTTAGGGTCAGAATAATTAATTTATAATTAAAATACGGACCTATAAAAACCCCTTTGTAATGTCCACACACTTTTTAAAAAAAAATATGTATTTCCCATTCTGGGGCCGTTAAAAATGCTTGTTAACTTCAACTTCTCTAAATTTTAATCTGAACCATTACTGCCCAGAAGATGTTATATGTTGAAAGCTCGGCACTTTTTTGGTGGCTCCGATGACCATTTACCTGATCCTCACTCCAAATAATTAATCATTTTGAATCCGCTGTTTCGCCTCTTCGTTAATTAATGATGAGACTGGGGAGTGTAATTTTTACACGAATGGGTTTATTTATTTATTTTTTATTACTACCTGTATTAATAAAATATACATTTCTTAATTTGAGGTTATTTACATATTTACATTTATGCACCATTGTTGGTTGTGTGTTTATTGAATTGGAAAGGCGAAACCTTATGAAATCTTTCAGGGGATATCCGATATTTTCCATGGTTTCTCTGTGTGCAATATTTGTTTCAATTTGCTTGTCAATATTACTTTTTTTAAACTAAAATAAAACAAATTACCTAAGATGGCACTTTGTTACAGTACAGATTAAACGGGAACCTCTAAAAAATCTCTTTATTTTGTTTTTTTTTAATAAAGGATGAAAATAAGAGTGACACAGAAAGAGAAAGAAAAAGAAGACGATGACAGGGATGTACATAGGGATATGTGTAGGGAGAGAGTGAGAAGGAGAGAGAGAGAGAGTGAGAGAGAGAGAATGATAGAGAGAGAATGATAGAGAGAAAGAATGATTGAGAAAGAAGGAGGGAGAATTGAATGGAACGTTTTATGTACAAAAGCTAGAAAAAAATAGGTCTGAAACGTTTTACACTTAACGAGCATTCGTACATACAAATAAAGTTTACAGAATTCAAATACAAAATACATATAATACAAATAAAATTGTTTTACAGTCTATACATATTTTTAAATATTATTGTCATAGTACATAGCGTGATTCAACATAACCTCATGAGATAACAGCTAATAATAGATGTTTCTTACAATTATTTTTAGATTTAGATGATTTTAAAATATTGGTTAAATTGTAAAGTTTTATAGATTTAGGAAAAAATGAATTATAAAAACAGTGTGTCCACCACAAAGGCAGTTCGAGAAAGTGTAAAACCAGTTTTTTTAACTTTAAAAAACCACCATTATATCAAATAGGTATAATGGTTTTTCTATTGCTATTATGTCATGCAAATTCGCTAAATTTTGTGTTTCAACCAATTATAAATTTTTAAAATGACTAAATTATATTATTAATTCTAGAATCATAGTGTAGATCACAGGTACAGCGAACACACGTATTTATAGTAACATATAACTTATGAAGATTTTTATTAGAAAGATTAGAAATTATTGCAAGATTAGAAGTTATATTTGGAAGCATTAATACATTAAAACGCTTTAGTTTCATAAATGTATTATTAATATTGAATAGTTTTTTTTTAAATTGATATACAATGGAATGTATCCTGCTTTATCAATATATGTATTCCAGGTTAAATTTATAACTACTACTAAGCCTAGAATTTTTATTTCTTTCTGTTTGAAATAATAGACTATCGTTAATGTTGATTTCTACAATATAATCTTCCTTTAAATTTGCAAACTGTTTGTGATGTCCTAATAAAATAGCTTTACATTTTTTATCTTAATTTATAAACCATAACCATCGCTCCATTTTTTATGGCGTTTTTTAGTTTTAGAGAGAGAGGAGAGAGAGAAAGAGAGAGAGAGAGTGAGAGAAAGAGAGAGAGAGAGTGAGAGAAAGAGAGAGAGAGAGAGAGAGCGAGAAAGAGAGAGGGAGCGAGAAAGAGAAAGAGTGAGAGAGAGAGAGAGAGAGCGAGAAAGAGAAAGAGTGTGTGTGAGAGAGAGAGAGTGAGAGAGAGAGAGAGTGAGAGAGAGAGAGAGAGAGAGAGAAATATTTAGATGAAAAGGGAAAGACGTTACAGAGAGGGTCCTGTCTTACAGAAGTCAGGAACCTTAGTGTTTCTACATTTATTCAACTCAACAATTTAAACGTTATATAAACATACTTTATCCTAATTTATTCAACAAGATTACATTGCTAACAATTAAGGGTAGTAAAAAGATAAAAAAAAATTTTTTTTACGAGGGTTCGCCTTATAGTGATGAGCGCCGTGTCAACGCCTAAACCGTTGCGGCCACCGACTCCCCCTACAAATTAATTATTATAGGTTTTACCATTACAGACAATCCAAAGTACAGCAAAAAGTGATTCAATAAACATAAACAGTATATGTTCGCATAAAAGTTATTATAAAGGTACAATGTATGTAATTATATACTCCAGTGATATCTTATCTATGTACTTTTTATTTTATTTTCGCATTTTTTTATTACGCGTTATATTGAATACATCAATATTTTATAATTAGTTTACATATACCGTTCTATTTATTCAAAAAACAAAATTTAATTATAGAGACAATTAGAATTTTATATATTATTGTATTTTACTAATAACGCTTTTTTTAGTAAAGATTTAGGTGCATGTTAGAGGTAAGCATTGTACAACTCATTGTCATTATAATTTTTAATTGCCTATATAACTTAAAAAATTTTAACAGATATTTAGGTTTTTGTCTTTTTAATAAATTCATTATGTACAACGAGAGAATTAGTGTTCTTCTTCTTTAATATTTAGAAATTTTGATTTAGCATAATATGGTGTGACATGATCATAATAATTAATTTTATTAGGTTTTATTAGGTGGTCCGCTTGACCAAATAAATTCTATTCAATTAATTAAGGTTTTGGTTGAGATAAAAAAGTGAATGTCACAAGCGGGATTCGAACCCAAGCCCTTCGACTAAATGCGCCGCTACTCTGCCATTTGAGCTATCGTGACTTCGATCCGCTCGGACACTAACTTCCCATCTCAACCTCACCTCTCGAATTTTCATTCAGAATCAAATAGATTACACAACATTTGAAAAATGGCAAAAAGGAGGGAAAACTCATAAGGTGGGGTTGAGATGGGGAGTTGATGTCCGAGTGGATCTAGGTCACGATAGCTCAGGTGGTAGAGCAGCTGCGTATCTAGCCGAAGATCGTGGGTTCGAATCCCGCTCGTGCCATTGACTTTTTTATCTCAACTAAAAACTTTATAGCCTAATGTTGTCAAATGCTGGTCGGTTATATATCTTCATAAAAGCTCTCCGTGGCCATTTAAATTGTCGCCGAGAATCGAATCCTGATTACACGACATTTGAAAAATGGCAAAAAGGACGGAAAATTCAAAAGGTGGGGTTGAGGAAGTTGGTGTCCGAGTGGTTCGAAGTCACGATAGGTCAAGTGGTAAGCAGCGGCGTATTTTGCCGAAGGTCGTGGGTTCGAATCCCGCTTGTGGCACTCACTTTTTTTATCTAAATCAAAACCTTAATTAATTGAAAATAATGTTTAATGTTAAATGCATATCTCATACAGGCATTTTGTGCTCGTTGGATTGTTTCTACAGTTTCATTATTTATATTTGAGTAACATAACCTCGCATAGTCCGATATATGAAACAACTATCACTTTTCAAGAGGAACGATAGACAACAGGGGTCTATAAGAGGTTAGGTAAGAATTGCATGGAAATAGGGAGAGAATGAATGACCATAGTTTTATTTAAAAATCTCGCAAATTTATGCCGCGAATGAATTCTCCTACGATTAACGGGAAAGACAATATAAACATATATAATAAGGAGAGAATGAAGGAGGTTGAAAGAGATAATTATATATCTATGTATTAATTTATATTAATCTATTTTCAGATTTTCATACATATTAGTGTACTAACTATTCTCTTTTGGTACCAGTATTATAATGGGTGGTAGCTTATTACTAATTTTGTTTTCAAAAAATCTCATTTGGCTAAATTGTTGAACAATAGGTATTCCGACCGACATATTTTTTGTTATATAAATTTGGTTTATTTAAATTTACGTAAATTTATCCGTATTTATTGCTGAGCCTTCTTTCCTCCCTATTTTCTTCTTATTTTCTCTTTTCTCTGTCTCTTGTACACTCTATTATCAGAGAAGCACTGACTTTCACACTCAAAATAATGGTTGACCGTAATAATTTGCTACTTGTTTAAGCAATGTATGGGTTTTGAATTTTTGTTGCTGGCTTTGTTTTTCCATTAACATTTAACTGGAATTCAAAGTTACAAAGGTCACCAATTCTCCAGCTTAGAAATGCACATTTTGTAACAAAAGACGAGCCTGTTTCAACTTTTACGGTATCCCTTCTAATTGGTGAATTGAAAAGTTTGCAACGTTTGGGGGGGGGGCGCTTTTTGACGAGTTATCGCTGTGCCGACCCCTTCTCCCAATTATAGCGGAACAAAAAGAAAACCCCAAGCACTCCTCGTTTCCCCGGGAAAATTGGTCGTAATTGCGACAAACAATTGTTCACGTTGGGAGAAAATGTGAGAAAATATTTACACTCCATTCCCTAGATCCTGGAGGGGTAGGGTGGGCAATTGAATTCCTCATGTATGAATTCCGAAAACCGTCGGTCAAGTCCAACATCTTTCAAACAGAAAAAAATGCCCATAAAATATCATTAGAAATTGATTCAGGGAGCTTAATGTACTGGAAAAGCAGGCGTTGGTTCTAATTAGACAAAATTGGTGTGTAAGCCTTCCCTTTGACTAGTCCAATAAATTCCATAGAGGAATTAGCCAAATTTCCCGTTATTTCATTCCAGTTATATCGATTCGAACTCGGTAAAAGCACTAATTATGACTATCTAGGGCCGGACCTCTCAGATCGATTTGTTTTTGTTAAATTCTGATCGGTTTGCCCCTGACATGAAAACTGTGCCGATCACGAAAAAGGCTCCAGAGCGAAATTATTGAGTGGACTCGGCGCCGGGGAAACATCTTTTCAAACCTATAACGATCGTGTGAAAGGCCAAATGCCCCAAGGAATCAGTCCAATCATAAAACTTGTCTTCAACTCTGATAGTTCGGGTAGAAGAAAGGTCGCAAAAGGTGCAGATGTCACGACAACCAGGCGATAATGTATATTTTAGTCTAGCCGGCAGTCTGACGCCGGATAAATGCAGTTTACAATTCTAAGGGGATTTCCTCTTTTGGGGACCCATTAGCACATCATTATCGAGTTATCCCCAACCCGAACTATAAGTTCGACAACTGGGACTACGATGAACTGTGATTTACCTTAGGTTAATGGTCGTTCAACAGGTGGCTTCAATCGTTTTCTAAATATAATATAAAACCTGGACTGTACAGATGTACATTTTAGTTCTTGTATGTTCTTTTTTTTATCATTATCATTAGAAATGCGTAGTATTTAGTGACCGTTAATTAATTGGTTATTTGGAAATCGTGACGTGCGGTCTTATGAGATGTAGGTTAGAAAAACATTTTCTTTATTGTGCCAACTTTTCAATATTTAGATCATCTTCAGAGCTGAAAATATATATATATATTTTTTGCATTGTATAAATTCACTTTTCCACATCCTAAATGTATTTGTTAAATGCAAACAATGTTTGTAAATCCCAGGCCCTGAAGATGATCTCAATAAAGATCGAAACGTTGGCACCATAAAGAAAATGTTTTTCTGAAACTTACATCACACCAGACCGCATCTCACGATTTCTGAATAATTATCGATTAGCGGTCACTAATCACCACACAAATTTAAAGAATATTTTTCTTAGCATTTTCTTCTACTTCTACATTGCACAATTTTTTTTCTGGGGTTTCGACTGATATATATANTGTTTTTTACCTCCTTATTTTCCGATATGGCTTTTGTAGTTGAGCCTTTCGTGAAGAATTCTGCCCCTCTGTTTGGATCTGCCAAATACAAAAGTCAGTCTTTTTCGGTTAAACTAAAATCAGAAAACATAGACACAGGCAAAACAACAAGAATAACTCATCACAGCTAAGAAAAAAAACCCAAAACAAACAAAAGTCTGAAAATGCCATCAAATCAAGAAAAAGAAAAAACCCTAAAAAATGTCATCAAATTTGATACCTCTATAAGATTATCAAAGAATGTCTTAAAAACCGTAAATATCAGGCTTTTTCTGGTTAAATTATACACAAAAAACATATACACAGTCAAAACTAGAAAAAAAAGTATCACAGCTAAGAAAAAATGCAACCAAAGTTAAGGAAAACTTAAAAATGCCATCAAATCTGACCAAACTCTTGTTCTGTTTTTTCATTTCAAAAATTCAAGGGGGAGAAGGGAATATTGTTTCCCAAATTGTTTTATTTTTCCAAAAATTCTTATTTAGGAGTTTTTACTCCAACGATTCCTTTAAAATGAAATATCAACCACGAAAATCGGTCTCCCAATGTCGTTGGTTCAGAATAGCATTAAATACGTTTGGACACATTAAAAGTTACAAAAACGACAACAATCTATCACTAAACTACGCTTTAAAAAAATTTTTTTTTTCTTTAGGTCTAAGTCGAAATTATCAGTCAAAAAATTAATTTACACCGAATTCCGTGAAAGCCAGTATCTAAGGGTGTTATAACGCTTGAATCATGATAACAAGGTCAAATTCAAATTTTAACCATTTTCTGACCTACTTTCCTTTCAAGATGTTTTTTAAAATATGCAATAAAAACAGCATTTTGTTGATTTACGTTTTTAAATCATACCAAATCATAATGGTCTGCGTCTGAGAACTTTGTTTTTGTGCTATTCAATAATGAAATCAGTATACCAAAAATTGTATATATCTNTATAATATGTATATGTTGAAGTATCATACAAGTAGATGAAAGCATTAATATATTAATTATATATCGAAATCCAATCTATGTCAGCTAATTTTACTTTACATATACATTAATGAACTATCTCTGTAACGTCTTTCCCTTTTCATCTAAATATTTCTATCTCTCTCTCTCTCTCTCTCTCTCTCTCTCTCTCTCTCTCTCTCTCTCTCGCTCTCCCTCTCATTATGTTTTATGCTGTACTATTGTTTTGTTGGTGTTTGTTAACTGGGTCTCATTTAGTAATTTTTTCAGGTCTTGTATATTCCTAAATATTTATTCCCATTCGGGCACCACTACTAGCTTCCTTTTTAGTAGTTTCGCCTAAGAACTTTATCACTTGTAACTTTATGGCAAAGATGACAATCTCTAATCGGATGTATTTGTCGGTTTGTCGATAAGGGTGGTGCATTATCATCAGATGTTACTTTTTTAAGTAACGAGTAGTATGTTTGCGTCGCTTTGCTTAAGTGAAGATATTTTTCTTCATAATAAATTACCATCTGCCGTTTTATGGTTCTTTATTAAAAACAAGATATTTCACTGAATTTATTAATTACAAAATAACATTGATTTGTCGGTTTTGTCTTATCAAAAGTCTTCGAATGTAGAAACTTTCAATATTTAAAGATATAGTGTATGTAAGAAAGCATTTCGCCTTGTGAAATGTTTCTTTAAATAACCAAATTGAGCTTTTATTGTTGTAACACAAACGGAAAGAGCAAGGCTGTTCAATTATATTAATTAAATCAACCTTAGATTAGACTAGATAAACTCAAACGATTAAGACTAGTATATTTTCAATATTTTCTAACCACTATAGGTTCTCATTTTATAAAATGAAAGATAATTAAGAGGGTATGTTGATGAATTGTTATAAAAAATAAAATATATATGTAAATAGGCTCTTAATGATTGACCATAGTGGAGAAGCTCCATCCGACCATTGTTCCCGATCCTGTCTGAAGATCGGGGAGGAGCCGCGGCGAATTACCACCGGGCACAAATAACAAGTTCATGCCGGCCGTCCGTCGGGGAAAAAGTGGGCGTCCCTCGGATGAGAACGTTGATAATGCCCCTCAGAACCAACGTTTTGTAAAGAAAATTAACATTCCCACAAATGAACAGGGGGGAAAATAAAAGAAAAAATCTTTCTCGCGGCCATTGGCGTTCTTCCGTTTTACTCATGAGATGTTTCATTTGCCACTTCGGTAAATGCCCCTTTGCAAATGGTGTTTCGCTGGAAAAGAATCCCTATTTAAAAAGTAAGCTATATATCACGATTAACTATCATTCTCAGTTTTGTTTCTCTAAGAAACACACAAATATGCGTGATATTCACATGGAGCAAGAAGTTCTATGGTGGTATGTTTAAGACCTTTTAATTATTTTATCAGCTTATGCTTAATTATATAAATATTCAATTAATTATACATAATTTTTTCCAATTGAAAAATTTGTGTCACAGGCGGGATTCGAACCCACGACTTTCGGCTAAACACGCCGCTGCTACCACTCGAGCTACTTCGACCGCCCATGCCACAAACTGGCTTTGTGAAGTTTGTGGCTTGGTCGATCGAAGTGATTTTTAATGATAATAATATAATGATTTTTATTTAGAAATCGTGAGATGCGGTCTGGTGTGATGTAGGTTTCAGAAAAAGATTATCTTTATCGTGCCAACGTTTCGATCTTTATTGAGATCATCTTCAGGGCCTGGGATTTACAAACATTGGTTATATATTACAATTACATTTTGGATATGGAAAAGTGAATTTATACAATGCAAATTGTATTGTATTTGTTAAATACAAACAATGTTTGTAGATCCCAGGCCCTGAAGATGATCTCAATAAAGATCGAAACGTTGGCACGATAAAGATAATCTTTATCTGAAACCTACATCACACCAGACCGCATCTCACGATTTCTAAATAAATATCGATTAACGGTCATTAATCACCACACATTTTTATGATTTTTCATATTCTAAACGATATCGTCTATAAAAAGTGAGAGAATACAAAATTGGACTCCACATTATTATTGAATTGGTACTTGGTTTATTTGATACATAAAATCCTAGTTTTGTATATTTTTTCTTCGGCACTTCACATTTTGCTTCCGAACTACTGCCATGTATTTATGCAGAAAGTTTTTATAGACTAGTTTTACATGTTACAGTTTCTAGAAAATAAAATTTTTAGGGTCTTTTTGATAAATAAAATGTTTCGGCTAATTGGAAGTTAACTCTTTTTACCTCGAATTGTTATTATTTGTAAAGTTTGTATGCTTTTTAAAATAGTTTTTAAAGATCGTATTTACCTGAATTTTATTGAGTTTTTGTTTGACCGTTTTGAAAATGTGGGACGTTGCCCGAAGGCTACAGTGAACTTAAAGAGAATGAAATACCATTGTTTTTATTTTGTTTACTTTTTATATTTTAACCTTTTCTGCACGATTACAGGGTTACAAAACTAAGGTTTTTGAAAAACAAACATTAAATAATGTTCAAAACATTGACTAGCATGTAGCATACAAATAATTACTAATTAAAACAAAACAATAAACATTTTAAACTACACAAAATAGGTATTTTTGGAAAGATAATAGAAATTTGTAATTTAAATTTGCACTCTTACCTCGAGATTTGGTTTTCTACATCATCAAAATTTTACAAATGCGATGCCTTCGCCATCTCCAGTGTCTAGCAGATCAAATGATCGTTAACGACCTAATTACAGTTTTATCACCCCGCAGAGCAGTAAATAAAGCAAATAAATATTTTTTTTATTTTTCGGGGACATTTTGCTATTTAAATTAGTTATAATAATAGTGCTAATTAATTTAAATTTAAATTTAGACCTAGACAATGCAATAACAGATTATCATTCAAGGCAAAATTATGAGAGGGAAGATTTCACTGTTATTACCATAGGCCCTAGGGCAACGCACAGGGTGAGTTTAACTTCTGTCCCCCATTTTTTAAAAACATTTTAATTGGGGCATTTTGGGGGAGAATTCCGAGACGCATCAATTTTTATTGTTTGTCCTGTTTCTCATGAGAGAAAAGGTTTTGATCTAACCCGCCAGGATAGCGTGATACCGGGATACCGGGATACGGATAGTGGGCTATTTCAATTCGCTTACATGGTCACATGGTTATGGACATTTTTTGGAAGTTTTTTACCCGGAATTCAAGGTGCAAACGGTATCCCGCTACCCTGGAGTTAGATACAAATTTTTTCGTTCATGGAAAACGCTAAAAAATAAATGTTCACTTGTCTCGACGTTTTCCCAAAAACGTCACAACTAAAAAATATAGGTGGTTGAAAACAAGTTAAATTCACTCTGTATGTTTCAAAATTAGTCATTCCTACCCAATTACATTTGATATTTCCCCAAATCGCCATTTCCCAAAAGTTAATACTACTTACGAAAGTATTTTTTATTTTAAGCTTGCAACGTGGAAAAATAAAAATTTACTTACTTGAGGAGGTTCTGCCGGGCTGTGTGAAAAACGGAGATTAGGGACCTAAAATAGCTATCGTGAAATGATTTTAATACAAAAACATGTTAAAAGTGTTTTTTCCTTACAGGTTAACACTTCGTTTAATTATATACAGATTGTGAAGATCCCAAGATGGATTTACATTTTATGTTACCCTAGGTGAACTGTGAGACTGAAAGATTAAATAAGGTATAAATGAGGCTAAAGTAAGGTAGATTATCCTGGAAAATCGATTTGTAGGAAAATACAATTTTGTCATAAAAGAAAGGCTTTTCTATATGCTGAAGTTTGCCTTTTTTCGTAAACGAGATCTTTTTTAGAATCTATAGTTTGCCCTCTATCCTAAAAATGGAATTTTAGAGATAGTATCGTCTATTTAATCAATAAAAATGTTTATATTTATAATTTTGTCTCTTTCACTGAATTCCTCTTCTATTCATTTCAATATTTTCTCTCTTCAGGTATTTTTGATTCAGTTTGTGTGTGTGTGTCTCTCTTTCTCTTTCTCTCTCTCTCTCTCTCTCTCTCTCTCTCTCTCTCTCTCACACACACACACACACGCACGCACGCACGCACACGATACGCACAGAACCAAAGAGAGAGAAAGAGAGAGAAAACGAAAGAAAGAAAAGTTGGCTCAGCCGAGGA